TTTTTTTTTTTTTTTTTTTCTTTCCTCGAAGCGTTCCGTTCAACTTTCCTGGCCTCTCTTCCACTTCAACTGACATTTATATATACGGCGAGGAACATTAGACCAGGAAAGTGTTCTGATCTCTTCACTTCTTTAACCTTTCTTCCGCCCTATTCTCTGTATAACTCTGTTAGACTGCAAAGGAACAAACACGAGTGATCTTCATTTGAAGAGGAACACTTAGTGTACACCTTCGTTCAAAGTGATCGCATCTGAAGGAATTGTAAAATTTAAAACAAGCTCTTTCTTGGATTTCTATCCCTGCGCGATGCTATCTTCATAATTGTGCAACAACACGTGACGCACGAAAATTTCAAACTGTTGCACAAGAAAGTGGCTCAAACGTGCTTTTCGACTTGTTTAATATATATCAACATATATATAGCCAGTGGAGCAAGTGCACAGACAGAGAAAGCGGCAAGAGAGGCGAAAGATTGGAGTGAACGTCGCTGAAGTAAAGACGAGTGCCCTAAAGAGAACACTGACCTGTCGAGGCTTGACCGGTGGTGGAGGACGAATGGAGACCGCGAGGGCTGCGGGTGGCGCCGTAGTTTGGGGCTGTTGATGAAGTGAGTGTGGAGGCTGCCAGGGCAGCCCTGTACGTCCCAATGTTCCCTGCAATTGCTGTTGCACCTGTTGCTGAATTTGCTGCTGCTGCTGCGGCGGCGGCGGCTGCTGATGCTGCTGCAGCGATTGATGACTGTTGTTGTGCTCGACTGCTGGCGTAACTCGAGGAAGCGTTGAAGCGACTGAAGAAATCTTCCGAACTGTCTGTGAAATGAGCGACTGATTATTTGGCCCTTATTTTTCCGATTCAGTTAATTTGAAAAAGCTACAACTTCAACCACACTGCATACGAAGTGTGAGACGAAGCTTTGAAAGAGAGATCGGCAATTTCACTAATTAATAGATGTAATGAACAACAGTTATAGCGAGATTGGATAAGTCAATTGTGAGGAATGACGACATTACCTGACTTAACAGGCCAAATCTCAAGGAGATACTTGAGAACTGCTATCGGTTGTTGGAAATCCAGAGGCGGCCCGTTCTCTTCCGAGTGTAGCATTAGAACTGGTCCGAAACATACTGCCAAACTTGCTGGCGACATCTTGTTACACTGTGAAACCACCATCGCCAGATGGTCCAGCAAATAGATCAACGTACACTGTGCGTAAAGAACGATCAGTTATTGGACACGTTTAGAAAAGCAACGTGTCGGTGGATGGTTGGAAATGTCGGATACCTACCCTGTTCACTTTTGGTAAACAGTCAAGTATACTAAACATGAGTTTCGCGTTGCCTTGCGGATCATCCGGCAGACAAACGGCCAGTGCGTCGACCATCATTTGGTAGAGGCACTTCGTGAAGAGTGGTTCTGGAAGTTCTCGCAGGTAATCCTTCAGCACACCTGAACAATCATTTGAAACCATTGTTACAGTTGTTATTTTATAAGCTTTATAAACAATTATAACGAAGTTTACCAGTAATGACGTTAATATCTGGTACATTGTCAGGGGACAGATTCACTGAACGAGCGTTCCTCTCAAAAGCCTCCCTAAGTATCCTCTTTTTCGTAGCTGATCCACAGAGCCTGTACAGACCTAAAAATCACAGATTGTCAACCAGCTGTTTACACCCGTTGCAGCTTTACAAATACTAGTTACAACTCACCAATAATGTCGAGACCTCTTCTCTCAACCTCTTCGACGCAACGCCACACAATTATGGGCACATTTGGAACGCCCATGGCTAGTGCGGTAGAAACACCTCCAGGAACTCCACCAGTCTTGCTCTCTCGGCTCACCTAATCCGAATCATCATCATCGTCATCACGGTTTTCGTCCAATTTAAAAATTTACCCATCGGCCAAAATCTTCAACTTACCACTGTGTCGAGATCAACTCCGAAGAGAGGTGCCACTCTGGTAGCCAGAGATATGACTGGAAGTCCTCTCCTTCGGAACGTCTGCTGAGCATCGGTGTATCTCAATCTCAAGTAGATCGTGCCACGTGGCTCTACTTTGACAGCTAGCTGATGAACCGGCGACTCCTTCAAAAGCGTCGCCAGGTGCACAGACCCTTTGTAACAGAGCTTGTGCCTGTACTGTGGATCCCAGGAGTAGACCAGCAAGTCTAACTGCCGGTTGCCAACGAGATCCAGCTCGAAGGTCTCGTCCCAGTCGAACATCAGGTCGCCGGTTCGCATCACCGTCCTCGCCTTGTGCACCCTGTCGCACTCCAGCACGCAGTAAAGGTCTCTCAAGCCGCAGCTAGCTGTTACATTATCCAAAACAAATCGGGGATCGATCTCGCTATCTTTCGAATTCGTGTGTTCGTTTACTCGAACTTCCGAAAGGAAAGACTGGCTCGAAGGTCAAAGACAGTGTGTCGTAGTACTATCGAACACTTTCTAACATTCGAGAGTGTCAGGTAGTAGGAAACACTATGGACTTAAATGAGAAATAAAATTGAA